TGACTCTCTGTTAGCACATCCTTCTTTGCCTTATTTTTTCCCCCTCGAACATTTAACATTATCTGAACATAAGCCATTGTCAGCTTTTGATGACGGTCTGTCAGTGGAATGCACACTCCCGCTAGAATGTGACAGTGCAGGGACTCCGCCTCGTTGGCTGCCTCATCTCCGGGTGCGGACGGCGGTCTGCCATCGTGCAGGTGTTCAGGAAACATTAGCCGAGCGAGCGCCAAATGAATGAGGACATTGGAACTTCCCCAAACCCTCCCCTCCACATCCAGATTGACACACTTATTATCCTCACTGCCCCGCCCACCCAAATGTGTCGGTCCAATCTTCACTGTGCTGCGAAAGTAGATGGTTTAGCTGCAAGTAACGCAATTAGAAGTAATTAGGCTGATTGAGATTAGAAATTGTCTTTAAAAGCCACTCTCAGGGCGATTAGATTACCTAGAACAGGGCGGGTCTGCTGCTAGTAGAATGGAAACAATGATAGTGACTATTTCCTAAGGTTGTTTTGAGGATTAAATGACTTAATGTAGGTGAAGTGTGCAGCACAGTGCTTCTCAATGGGGAGTGTTTTGCCTCCGCAGAGACATCCAGTGGTGTCTGGAGACGTTTTGTTGTGGTGTTGGTTGTCAAAACCAGGGCAGGGTTGTTCCTGGCATCTGCTGCTAAACGCTCCTCCATGCACAGGACAGTCCCCTACCCACAAAGAATTATCTAGCTCCAAATGTCAGTAGTGCCACCTGTGCTTTAGAGCAGTGTCTGCACGCAGAAGAACTGTATTTGTGTTTGCTACTATTATTTTTAGGCCCTGGCTGGATGGCTCAGTTGGTTGGAGCGTTGTCCTGTACACCAAAAGGTTGAGGGTTCAATTCCTGCTCAGGGCATGTACCTAGGTTTTGGATTCTATCCCTGGCTGGGGCGTATTCAGGAGGCATCCAATTGATGGGTCTCTCTCACATCAATGTTTCTCTCTCCCTCCCACTCTCTCTCTCTCTGCCTCTTTCTCTCTTTCCTTTCTTCTCTCTCTAAAAATCAATAAAAAACATATCCTTTGGTGAGGATTAAAAACAACACAAAAACATGACAACTTAGGGGAAGTGTTTGCAACATATATGGTAAATGACACATATTCCCAATAGAGGGAAAAGCTTATTAAAAGCAGCAACAAGGATGTGAGTGCTCTAATAAAAGACATGAGCAGGCAATTCACAAGAGAAGAAATTCAAATTTCCAGCAAATATGAAAAGTGTTCAGACTGACTAGTGATAAAAAAAATGCAAATTAAAACACAAATTATTATTTTTTTCCTTTCAAATTGACAAAGGTTAAAAGAATAAAATGGTGAGCATTGAAGTTAGGTGATAAATGGATACTCTCATACACGGTATGCTGATAAAGGTTTTCTGGGAGACAGTTACCTATGTGAATCAACTACTTCAAATATCTTCATACTGTTTGTCTCAGTATTCTACTCTATAATCAGACTCACACAAAGATGTTAGTATGTGATTTTCACATGTGGTGCTATTTAGAAAACTAAAACTGATGGAATTGGAGAATGGTTAAATGAACTATGTTGTATCTATGGACCATTAGAAATCAAATGAAGTCTTTAGACATAACTTAATCTGTAGAGTTGTCATGTTTGATTGGTGGAGAGGTGATATGGAAGAAAGGGGAGCACAGATGCAAAGAGGGACATCAAAGGAAGAGTGAGGAGCCGCAGGGAGAACCCCTGCGCACATCTCCAGCTCTGGGAGCTGCCTTGACTTCCCACCATTCCTCAAATATGCATATTAAGTTCCAACAGAGTCACACACTTAAAGATGTAGAGCTTGCTGCATCTCTGTCCTTCTTAACATATAAATAAAGAAATTGGCTGTTGAAGAAACTTTCTTACACACCACTAGAAGCATGTCTGCTCCAGGTTTGTTTCAAACCCTTGGTTGCTTCAGTCCTATCTTCAAAATAAAATGAAAAGGTAAATAAAATCGAGAGTTAGCACAACCTTTCCCGAGACATAGAACCATGAACAGACTGATGAATTTCAGAAGGAAGATGGGGATGGAGGTAGAGGAGGAGAGATTAACTGAGGAATTTATATGCATATATGCATAGCCCAAGGACACAGACAACACTGTGGCTAAGGCTCGGGAGGGGCAGGTGCAGGGAGGAGGGGTCAATGAAAACACACACACACACACACACACACACACACACACACACACTAGACATCTGTAATACTTCCAACAATAAAGACAAATACCGTATTTTCCGGCGTATAAGACGACTTTTGAAACGAAAAAAAGTCAACTGAAAATCGGGGGCAAAAGACCAAAATTGCAAAAAAAATTATCTGCAGATCTTGACGGCAAAGTAAGTCTTTTCTTTGAAGTGGGGGGTAGTCTTATACAGTGAATATAGGCCTAAACCTATGTTTTAACTGTAAAAATTAGGGGGTCGTCTTATACGCCAGAAAATATGGGTAAAAAAAGAGAAAGAAACATATTCTTCGTCAGCAGACTGTGTATGAGAGTGTTCATTTATCACCGAGAGGTCGTGGGTTCAGAAGGAGTCGTTCAGAAGACAGCTGGCTGATTTTTTTTCACCTAGATCTTTCTCCCTCTCCCTTGATTTCTCTCAAATCAATAAAAACATTTTTATTTAAAAAAGAAAAGAAAATACAGGATGGGCAAAAGTAGGTTTATAGTGGTGAGTACAAGAAACACAGAGCTCATTCTTGTATTATTTATTGATTGTTGTATTATTTTTCATACAAACAACTGTAAACCTATTTTTCTCCACCCTCTATTGAAGTGGCTTAACGGCCTTTTGAAGAAAATTGATCAAGAAATTAAATAGACTTACCGTAATGGTGTTGTATAAATAAATACTTTGTGATCAATTTTATCTCCATTGGTAAAATTATGATTGGAATGTTTGTATTCATACATGAGAAAATGTGTGAGTGAAACAAAGCAGGGTCCAAGTGGAGAGTATAAGGTCCACTGATCACATATGCCTGGGTTGTGGGCTCAATCCCCAGTGTGGGGCATGCAGGTAGAGAATCAATTATTCTCTTTCATCTATCTCTCTCTCCCTTTCCCTTCCTCTCTGAAATCAAGAATAATAATTTAAAAAAGTCTAATGTATGAAGCCCTTACTCCTATTCTTAGACTCAGGTCTGAAGGTCTCTTAACCTTTGATTTCCACCTGTCTATCAAATCCCCAACCCTAATCAGAAGACGTTCATTCATTCATGCTCATAATATATTCACAGCGTGACCTTTGTTCCTGGCCTTCTACTACCCACTCACCCATCTATACTAATAAAAGCCTAGGTGGCCCTTGTGTGAGATGTTGTTATAAGATGGCCACCACAATATGGCTGTCACAAGATGGCCACTACAAGATGGCCATGAGCACAGCAACTGCACCACACAGTGAGGCCTCGGGGTCCCATGGTACTGTGTGGGGTGGAGGAAGCAGGTTGAGACAGGGAAGGATAATTGAGGGCCATTGGGCTGGCAGGGGAGGCAGTTGGGGGCAATCAGGCCCACAGGGGAGCAGTTAGGCATAGATCAGGTTGACAGGGGAGCAGTTAGGGGGCCATCAGACTGGCAGGCAGAAGCAGTTAGGGGCAATCAGGCAGGCAGGCGAGCAGTTAGGATCCAGTGGTCCTGGATTGTGAGAGGGATGTCCAACTGTACCACAGAGATTGGGCTTAAATTGGCAGTCGGACATCCCCCAAAGGGTCCCAGATTGGAGAGGGTGCAGACCGGACTGAGGGACTCCACTCCCATGCACAAATTTTGTGCACTGGGCCTCTAGTTGTTTGATAAAGATCAGGGCTTGGTGGATAAGAACAGAAATAGGATAAATAGAAATAGATGGGTGGTGAGAGTGAGCAGGGAGAAAACGAATAGACATTTCAAAAAACCCAACATTAGAAAACAAGAAAAATGGGAAAAAATATTTGTTTGCACATATTCTTTATTCACCATGAATTTTTCCAACCCTTCATATATTTTAAACAAAGTACTTTGTTTTACTAAGTTTACCATACTGAAAATCTTTTTTTTTTTAAATGATAACTGAAAATGTGGATTCTGCAACAATAAACAGTGTTTATAAGCATAATGCTAGTGAGTCCCATCCTACTGCTTTTATACTTTGTAGGTAAAGTAGAACTAAAGTTGTGCAGGTGTCGTTAGTTTATCCTTACCTTTTGTACAGTTTATTGTCTTCAAGAAATACTATTTTCTGAATACCAGAATCTAGCACAGTGCCTGCCTCACATGTAAAAGAGGTAAACAATCATATAATAAGTAAGTGAATGAATGCTGTCCACATAGCCTGGGCATGACTGACAGTCATCATTTTATTTTTGTTGAGGATATTGTGGGTTTATATTTATCACACAGATTGATAAACAAGAGAAAATAGCTTCAAATATAGATGAGGATAAGACCCCTTTGCTTCTCAAGCTCATTTCTTTATCTTATTTATTTTGTTTTTTCATTTTATGTGCCTCAGGCATGAAACAGCTCTGGCCACCCACACAGGCATCAAGCTAGGATGAACTGACTGTACATCAGCTTTGCCCTTGACTGATATAAGAGCAACACCACCAACCAGATGTCTCCTTGCCCATTGCCAGGGGTTCATTTCTTTATTTTTATCTTGTTGAGAAGATAGTTTGAAAGTGCTTATTTGAAAGTAGTTTTCTCAATGTCAAGTTACTTGAATTCTCATTTCAAGGCCCCTTCTTCTTCTTCTTCTTCTTCTTCTTCTTCTTCTTCTTCTTCTTCTTCTTCTTCTTCTTCTTCTTCTTCTTCTTCTTCTTCTTCTTCTTCTTCTTCTTCTTCTTCCTCAAAAGGAAGTATGAGGTCAATTGCATAAACTTAAAGTACCACAGAGATGAAACTTAAAGCAGGAAGAAACTTGCCATCAATGTGCTGGATGGGAACATGTGTGCCATGTGAACAGACATGACAAAAACAACCCTCCTTAAGTTACTTTTAGCAATAGTGATGACATTCATTTTAACTTTGCCGGACTATTTCAAGACACCAAAAGGTGAGAATATAATTATAATTTATATTTTCTTTTTCTTAATTTTAAAAGTGAGGACAGCCAATGGTTATATGAAATGTTTTCATTTCAGATACATGCTGCATGTATGGGAGGAAGCTCTCTGTCTGAAAAGCTAATACAGGGAGACTGCAACTTCAATTGACTGTTACACAGCTCAGTAATCTTAGTCATAGCACTTAGTTATTGTAGAATACAATCATGAAATGAAAAAATGCAAAGGTAATTTAAAATTTGTGGCCAAGATTTCAAACATTCAGCGTATAGTAATCTCATCACATGAATTTGCTTTTTATTTATTTATTTATTTATTTATTTATTTATTTATTTTTATTGTTCAAAGTATTACACATAGTAGTAGTACATATATCTCCCTTTTTCATGATTTTGTTTTTTTTAAAACATTTTCCTTCAAAACCAGTTTTAAGTATGCGTTTACATTTTGAAATTATTATCGACAGAAAAGGACATTTATTATGTTAAAATGGCTTGTCTTCTTTCCAACACAGCTATTTCATACAATAACTTACTATTGCTTTTTGAAAATCAAGAGTATTAGCTATTTCAAAATATAATTAGAGTAAGATGGGTGTAAATTTAAGCAGGTATATGGGTGTGAATGTTTGTAACGAGAGAAAAATGGGACAACATGAACTCTGTGGATATTTCAGAAAATTGTGATGATTGCTGAAACCAAGCGTAGGAAAATAATTAGGTGTAAATTTAAACTATTTTTATATGTCAGTAAAATATTTCAAAACATGTTAATGTGGCTATTTGGATGATAACTGTGTTCCCTAGCATTTAATAATAAGAAAAAGGAAAAAGAAAATGATGTATAATATCATTAAAAGTTAAATAAATTTGATTAAAATTAGAAAAAATCTTATAATAATTTGATTTGCTGTAGTAATTATTGTTGCATATAGGTAATGCTAAATAGACAGATAAAAATATTTTTTTTTGGTAAATAAATACCATGATCATGCAATTTTGTGAATGATTAAATTGTTCAAATTTATCTTGTTTTTCTGGCATTATGTTGCTTAGATTAAACGTATATGTATATTTATTTTCATTCTTTTACATTAGTTTCAGGTGGACAGCATAGTGGTTAGACAATCATATACTTTACAAAGTGTTTCCTCTGATATTTCCAGTATCCACCTGGCACCATACATAGTTATTAAATAGCACATATTTTTAATTCTTGATTTCACTTAATTCAAATATAAAAATAATAGTTAGAATTGGACTAGAGAGAACTATTTAAAATTTTAAGCTGTTGTGGCCTGAGAGTAAGCTCATTTAATAATTATCTAAGGTAGGTCATATAGGTATATCTAGCATCTCCAAAAAATCAGGTTGGATCTAATGAAAACTAGGTAATCAGCCTAAAAACGATTTAATGAACTACTTGCTAATTATTGCTTAATGTTTGTGAACTGATGGCAACCAATATTGATATAATTTTTGTTCTCCTGGTTTCCTAACCAAATATGTCAGCTCCCAAATACTACCTTATTGCCTCCATCAACTCTAAAGAGCCACTTCTCTTTTCCTGCTTCAAGAACAGCTCACATATTTCTTTGTACTCTTTGGGGTGATGAACTTATTTGGGAATTTTGTTTCAAAGGGACCATCCTTAGGGCTAATAAACAAAATGTTTGGAAAGCACCATCTTATCCTGATGTCATTTTCTGGTGGAAGGAATTTTGCACAGAGCCCCCAAAAACAAACATTTCATCACTAGGCAAAATGTTTTACATGTACAGTAGTATGTATTAAAAATATGTATTAAAATAGTGTAATAATAATGTTTTATATCTTATACTGGTTTATGGATCACCAGGAATAGTTCCTATTTATCCACAAGGGCACATAATTGTTTTGCTTTTAAAAAACTTTATTTTTAGTAATTTTTAAATCACAATAATACTCAATGTCTTATGAAATGAGTTTACTTGCTAGCCAATATAGTTCTGGTAAAATTACCTGCATAATAAGCTCTGAGTGTCCCATTAGTGCTAAAATTAACCTTGAGCTCTTCCTGTATTGTCTCACCCTCTTTCTCAGTTACTTGTGTTTTTTTCCCCCCCACTTTTTTCTTATGTCCTATTCACTTTAATTTCTAAGATAAATATTATAAATGACTTTCACTTATAAATGATTCACCGATACCCTATCTTCAACACGTCAAGTGAATTAAAAAAGAATCTTAATGAGGAATAATGTATTCACGAGGCTTAATAGATTTGATTTGAAAATAACAAACCCTCCAAAGGTCTATGTTAAAAATAGAGAACTGCATTTGATCACTTTTCATCAGGAATGTATCCGAGTCTCTGAATTATCATTATTCAGAATATTCAATTATCATAGTCATACAGTGGAAGCTACTTATTCTAATTTCACCAAAGGAGAGGAACTTGAACGGTGTCTGGGAGTTTTAATGAGTTTGCATTGGCAGGAGAGCTTATTCTAATACTTGAAAAGCAGCTTATGCTAAGATTCGGTAGATAACATAATGACTTGATAGTCTTATATTGCATAAAGATAATAGAGATATAAAAAGGAATGGATATATTTTGACTCAGAGCTTCTTGCAGTTAAGGGAGCTAGGTTTCCCTAAACAACAGACTTAATCAACCTACTTTTGTTGGGACAATGTTTACAAGAGAGCGAGACCTGGTTAACTCATATAAATCTCAGTGGTCTTTTATTTTTTTATTCATTCCCTTATGAATACTGTTTACCTGTACTAGGAACCCAGGGCTGTGAAAATGAAAGGCAGGTCTTCCTTCAAGAAGGTTTCAGTGGGGAGGACTGACTGGTAAATAATGAAATGCGATACTGCCATTACTAGATGGCAAGGTAAAAAGGTTCAGTGTGAACACAGTAAAAGTTGCCTCTGGGCCTGTCCGGGGGTAAGATGTTTCTTGCATTTTTGTTGCCATGGGAAATAACTCCCAGATTTCAAATGATCACCCAATATTTCTCCTTACCTGCTTGCAGAAGCACTTTCTAAGAGAAGCAATTATTATTGATTTTCTAATAAAATGCACTCGTAATAATATCTCAGAAATTCTTGAAACCAGAGGTAGTAACGAGTTATCCAGGTGCATTCCTGATGGTTTGCCACAGTGTGGGACAGGAATAGGGCAGATGAAAACGCCTCAAACCTAATTGTATCTAGCTGTTTTGACGTCCTCAGTAACTTTTAAGAGCCAAACTGACATAAACAATGTTTGCTGGCTTTAATTTCCTCTCCTATTTCACACTTTCTGATGGAAATGGTGGTATAAGGAGCAGTGGAGTTGAAGAAAACAAAGGATAAAGGAACTTTACATACTTAGGAACTCAAGGCTAACCCCCTGAAGTATCTGAGCGTATGTACCACACATTACTTATGTCTGGGGTATAAAAAAGTGTTCATTAAAGCTATCCACAATAAATTTGCCTAAAAGTATTATCCCACTTCTCAAAAATGGGCTCTTTAATTTTTTCTTATGGTCTGGCTTATTAAAAATTTAATCATGCCAGGACCGGTTTGGCTCAATGGATAAAGCGTCGGCTTGGGGACTGAAGGGTCCCGGGTTCGATTCCGGTCAAGGGCATGTACCTTGGTTGCGGGCATATCCCCAGTAGGGGGTGTGCAAGAGGCAGCTGATCAATGACTCTCTCTCATCGATGTTTCTAACTTTCTATCTCTCTCCCTTCCTCTCTGTACAAAAATCAATAAAATATATTTAAAAAAATTTAATCATAACCCAATTTAATCTATGCCAATTGTTACAGAGGCAGACCTGTGACCTAAGGAAATGACATGTTAACCAATATCTGTAAAAAATATACTCTCTCCTCTCCTGGCAGCTAATATTTTTAAATTGCTGAATACCCAATAATGATGCAAGATCTTCAGAAGCGATTGGCTATGCTTTGTTTTGCTCTTCTTTTCAAAGACATAACTTACATGTAATAAAATGGAAAAGATCCTAAGTGCTCAGTTTCATGAATCTTGACAATGGTATGCACCTATGTAATTGCCATCCCCATGTAAATTATGGATTTTCAACACTCCCAGAGAAATTCTGTCTGCCTTTTCCTGTCAAATCTCTGCCCACCCCAAGGCAACTTGCTGACCTGTGTCATCATAGTATAGTTTTGTGCTTTCTTGTGCTTCATATAAATGGAATCATCACACAGTATCTATTTTTGGTCTGGCTTAGCATAATGTTTTAAGATTCATCCATGTTACTGAGTATACCAATAGTTCCTTTGCTAAGTAGCCCATTGTATAAATGCACTAAATTTTTCTATTTGTCCATTGGCTTGTTTCCAGTTTGTGGCTATTATAAATATGCTATTATGAACATTCTTGTACAAGTTTTTGTATGAACATATGTTTTCATTTATATGAGAAAACTAGTAGTAGAATACCTGAGTATATTTAATTTCATAATATTATCACTAAATGCTTCACAAAAATGGTTGCACTTAGGTATGTTCCTAGTGGAAAAAATCCCTTATTTTTCCTAGTGTGCATTCAATATTCTGGAGCAATAACTCAAAAATATGTATTGTCTGAAATAATTCATGCTTCTTCCAAAGTTCCCTGATAACTAGTTAACAGAGCAATAGCTCAGATGTTGGGGAAATATGATGACTAGACACAGAGTATTTTTTGGAGCTCTTATCATCTGTCAAGCAGTGAAGGTTTTATTATAAATTCTCACATATTTTTGAAGGTCAACGGAGAGTAGAGACTTCTCTTTTTATAGCCCTACCTTGAAAAACATTCCTAGCACACAAAAAATAAAATGTGAGCTAAAACATATTTAAAAATTAAAAAAATACGTAGTTGAACTGATAAGAAAACTTCTCAAAGGGGAAAAATGACTAAATATTATAAATCCAGATGGGTAAGCAACAGTGAGCAAATTGGTCACTTCAAGGGCATCTACCAATTCCTGGTGGCCTAGAGTCTCAGTGTCACAGGGCCATACGTGGGAAACAGGGACACTAAAAGGTGACTGAAAGGATTATTTCCAGTTTTGCATTATTATAAATACAAAAGCTGCCATGAAAATTCATTTCCAGGTATTTGTGTGAACATGAGTTTTTATTTCTCTTGTGTATATTCCTAGGAGTAGAATTGTTGGGTGATATGCTAAGTGTATATTTAATTTAAATAAAATGCAAATCTGTTTTCCAAAGTGGTAGGACTGTTGTGCAGTCCCACCATGTATGAGCATTATAGTTCATAGCAGCATTCTTCAGAACAGCAGAAAATAGAAACACCCAAATGTCCTCAGTCAGAGACTGAATAAATTGTGATACATTCATTCAAATGAACACCACAAAGAATGAACTATAGCAACATGACTAAGACATAGTAAGCAGAAAAAGCAAGTCAAAGATAATACATATACCATATTCCATATATATGTAAATATCTCTAAAATATGCTAAAAAGCAATGTTATTTGGAATATATACCTTTTTGAAAAGTGCTAAGATAAAGCAAAAGGGGTGGTACACACAAAATTCATGATAGTGGTTAACCTCTGGGAAAGAAGTTGTGTGTAGGGATGGGAATGGTAGGGTGCCTCAAAGGCGTTGGTAATATCCTGTTTCTTAATCTGTGTGATAGATACATGGTGTTTATTTTTATTATGATTTAACTGGCACAATACATTTTATATATGCTTATATATGATTTGGTTATAATAAAAGTTAAAAGAGAAAATAACTTTCACAACTTCACCAGGATGTGCCCAAAAGAAAATAAAGATTGTCCATGTTTCTTTAAAAAGAAAAAAAAAAACTGACCTGGGCATTTGTCCTATACAGTAATGTGTTTTTCTGATACTATTTAGCATTCTGTATACTTACTCTGAGAGATGGCAGTCCTAGTAGTGGAGTAATTCTGGTATGCATTTCTATCTCTGGAAGTGAGAATTTAGATGCCTGGTTCCCAGCAACAGTAATGGCAGTAGTTGAAATAATAAATCCTTATTTATGGTGATGAAATTATAGCCCATCTGATAACAAAAAGATTGAGTAGAATTTATTTCTTAAAAAATATATCAGAGAAGGATATGTCCTTTACTTATTTTCCAACTGAATTATTTAAATCCAAGGTTTAAAAAACATCATAAAATGACCTTGTAGCCAAAATGTGAATTCTATGAAGCCCAGTTGGTCTCTTATTGAATAAGACTGCAATATTGACAGAACAATTTCTCTCTCTCCCTTCTAGTTCGTACCATAAAACTATAAATTCAAAACGTTGAAAATTTCATGAGTTGAAAGATTCCAGTGAGGAAAGTAGAAAGATGACAAGAAATAAGTTTTTCGTGTATTTGGCTAACACAAAAAAAGCTAGAGTGCTATCAGATAGTCATTTCTATCTCCCTCCTGGGACACTGTTACTGAAGACAATGTTTCAAAAAAAAAATTAGTTCCTATTTGATTACATCTTTGTTTATAAATAAGTTATAAAATTGTATAGTTGAGTAAATAATCCTTTCCCCGCAAAAATTTTTATTGCAACCCACGTATGAAATGTGTTTGTAGCTTCCATGTGAATTATCATGGAAGCAATTTCAAATGCATAAGATAATGAGCCTTTTTATTTATTACATAATAAAAAAATCATCATCAGTAACGAAACACTTATGAATTAATATTAAAGTACAAATTCCATAAACAAAATAAAATTTTAATTTTAATCACTAGCTTCATTTTCTTTTAAGTTAGAACCAAGATGTATGACTAGAAGTAATAATTCTAAAAAAAATGGAGTAATTCTTCTATTGTACTCCACATTATTTAGAAACTTTTTAAAAGATAATATTTTGCCCTATATGATTATATGAAATATAGTTAAAGACATATAATGGTGGAATTGAGCATGTTATTATTTTCTTATACTGGCAAATGAGAGTCAGATGGGAATATCTGAAAGAGGGGTTATCTATTTCTTATTTGAGCACTATTGCCAAGCTAAGTGGGGATTTCTGATTTTTATATAGCGAGCTTTAATTACTTGTGCGAATTATATCAAAGACAATTCTACCCTAAATGAAGGATGAATTTTTAATTTTTACTTTGGAACATGGGTCTGTCTTTTAAATAATATACATTTGTACAAATTTCATAAGTGTTTTCCTATGTACTATACCACTTGATGCTACCATAACCCCATGAGGCTAGCAGAATCTAGAGTTATTATCTCTATTTTGCTGATGAGAAAATGAGACTCGTGGAGATTAAATTGTTCAGGTATCTTGGCTAATGACTGATAAAGCACTAGAGTCTTTCCCTCTTTTCTTTTGAATTTGACCTCCCCCCCCCCTATTTTTTTTTCTTTTTAAATCAATCTTTATTGTTCATATTATTACAAAGGTTCCTCATTTCTTCCCCCCTCCACCAGGTTCCCACCCCACCCTCCGTCCCCCACCCCCATCCCCCATTGTCCTCATCCATAGGTGCAGTTTATGTTCAGTCTCTTCTTCCCTCAATTTCCCCAATAGTAAATCCCTTTTCAGATAGTAAATCAGTTACTTAGCATTCCCCCCCCCCTATTTATACCACCATTTTCATATCAGTTGTTTGTCTTCAAACAAAAATACCAATTATGTCACCCTGTGAAGTTTCATCGTTGGAGGTTCAGGCAGGTTGAATAATGGCCACCCAAACATATTAGGTGTTAAAAACTAGAATCTCTGAATGCTACCTTATAAGGAAAAAGGGTCTTTACCGATGAGACTAAGTTAAGGGTCTTGAGATGGGGAGACAATCCTGCATTATTCAAGTGAACCCTAATCCAACCCTCTGCCCACTATAAGAGAGAGGCACAGGGAGATCTGGCCCAGACAGAAGAGTCGAAGACAGACAGGGAAGGCAATGCGACCACACGGGCTGAATTTGAAGCGGTACAGCTGCAAGCCAAGGAATGCCCACAGCCACTAAAAGCTGGAAGAGGGACAAGGAGCAGATTCATCCCTAGGGGAGTGTGTCCTTGTAGATACCTAGACTTCAGACCCGTATAACTGGTGTTGACCTTCTGGCCTTTAGAACTGTAAGAGAATGGATTTCTTATTTTAAGCCACCCAGGTTTGGTAATGCATTACACAGCCCTTGGAAACTAATAGAGATACTAGACTGTTCGTGTTTTCCATTCCCTATTCAACTCCATGCCATTGACTTGAACCTTCAGTGTAGAAGAGATGAATTCAGAGGAACCTAAGGCTTGTCCATTAGGATTTTTCCAGAAGAGAGAATGATTAAAATGCTGGGGTTTGCAAGCACTTTGTTACAAGGACTGTTTGCTGAAAATTAATGGGGAATGTTGATAACTTTAAAAAAATATTTCTTTATTGATTTCAGAGAGGAAGAGAGAAGGAGAGAGATAGAAATATCAATGATGAGAGAGAATCATTGATCGGCTGCCTCCTGCACACATCCCCATTGGGGATCGAGCTGCAACCCAGGCATGTGCCCTTTGCCAGAATCGAACCTGGGACCCTTCAGTCTGCAGGGTGATGCTCTATCCACTGAGCAAAGCCAACTAGGGCTGTTGATAACTTTTAATAAGAAATGTTTAAACGGAGTAGCTATTGTTAATTCATGTAAAAACAAATATTGTCACTGGTAAGCTGAAATGTACTGAATCTGCCTAAAAAAATTTGGGAGCTATTATTGTGTATTTATTTGAAAAATTCAAATTTTCACAGTAACCAAGTTTTTTGTTTTCCTTTATAGGAAACAGTTTGGAGCTATCATGTCTGGAAGTGTGTTTACCACTTAATCTTACCTATTCATTCTCTTCCTTAAGTTTTTCTGTTGTGACTTTTCTGCAACGAGTAAGGGAAACTCAGACTCTGATGGAAATTTTTCTAAATCACTCCAACTTTCAAAACTTCACCAGGATATGCCATAACATCACAAGTGAATTTAAAATGTGTTTGGTTTGTGAGTCCAAAGGAAACATGGATTTTATTTCTCAGGAACAAACATCAAAAGGTAAATTCAAAGGGAAAGTGAGAATAAAATGTATCAAGCATAGATGACCATATTATGTTAAAAAAGATGTTAATAATATATTCACATTTTAAGTTCCTGGAGTGGCCCTTAATGATTGACTTGGAGGGCTTTGAGATATTAATTGTTCTTGGTTTACTTTGATTTATCAAAAACAAAATATCTCTTCAAAATATTGATGCCACTGTCATTCACAAAGACTGGATGGTTAAATAATTATTTAACATGCTTTTTTCAAAGATACTGAATTTAAATAAATGGATTTTAAAATTTGAGTTAGAAATTCTAAATAAACTTGTAGGTTCTCATAGTAAAAAAAATTACACTTTGATTCTTCAAGGAGTCATTGAATTCTTGATACATTTATAACTCTTCCTGCTTAACATTTATCATCCACATATGAGCTGTTTTTTTACTTGTCTAACTATTGATGGCAAGGTCTTTGTCTTTGTTCTCTAGTGTATTTTTATATCTTAGCCTAATGTCTGACATTTGGCACTCAATAAGTATTTATTTAATGAATGAACAAATAAATAACTACCGGTACATATTACCTGTAGTGTCTAATTGAACCTTACATTTATTATGTAATCAATATATATTTTTAGTTAAATTATATTATTTTGAATCATTGAGAAATTAAATAATTCACTTAAAATCACAAAATATATTGGTTGCCTCAAGCCTAAGCATAAAAATGATTGCTTATGCCAATTTAGCAAGATTGCTTTCTATTTGTTTTATATTGGCATTTTCCCATTCATTAGAAATAGGAACAAGAGGGGAAGGATGAGGGGACATCTGTAATAATGCCAACAATAAACATTGACTTTTGATGAAGTACAATAAATATGTCTTCTTCTGAGTTTTTATTCAAGTAGTGCTATAACTATTGCATAGCTTTGGGTCAAATCACCAAGAAGCAAAATGGGGAAATACCTTTATGATGTCAAAGAACTAGAAAATGTTTCAAGGGTTGGTAGCTCACAGGTGCTACTTCTCTGCCTCTTTGAAAAGTGAAAACAGTGCACTGACAAGATCTCTTAGTTGCTACAGCTGTGTAACAAATCATTCCAAAACTCAGTGTCTTAAAACAACAGCAATCTTCCTCCCTCCCTCCCTCCCTCCCTCCCTCCCTCCCTCCCTCCCTCCCTCCCTCCCTCCCTCCCTCCCTCCCTCTCTTTCTCCCTCCCTCCCTTCCTTCCTTCCTTCCTTCCTTCCTTCCTTCCTTCCTTCCTTCCTTCCTTCCTTCCTTCCTTCCTTCCTTCTTTCCTTCCTTCCTCCTCCTCCACCTTCTCCTCCTCCTCCTCCTCCTCTTCCTCCTCCTCCTCCTCCTCTTTCTCCTCCTGTTCTTTCTCCTCCTCCTCTTTCTCTTTCTCCTCCTCCTCCTCTTTTCCTCCTCCTCCTCTTCTTTCTCCTCCTCTCTTTCTCCTTCTCCTTCTCCTCCTCCTCTTTTTCCTCCTTCTCCTCTTCCTTCTCTTCCTCCTCCTCCTCCTCCTCCTCCTCTTCATCTTCTTCTTCCTCCTCCTCTACCTCTTCCTTCTTGGTGGGCCAGGGATTCAGAATGGGCATAACTGGGCATTTCTGGCTAGGAGCATTTCATACTGTTGGGTAAGACAGTGGCAAGCTAAAGCAGAGGGGCTGAGCAGCTAGAGACAGGTTGGCATTTCTCTCTCTTCAGGCTTTTTATCAGAGTTTTCTATGTGTCCTTTTCCTGTGGGCTAGTTTGGGTTTCCTCACAGCATGATGACCTTAGGTTGTTGAACTAGTACATAGTGGTTCAAGGCCCCAAAATTATGTTCCAGGGAATAAGGTAGATATTGCTTCACCTTTTCTGGCTTTGCCCTGAAGGGTCTCTTCCTCTGAATTTGGTTGGTTACACTTGTCACAAACTCTCCTACCCAGATTCAAGGTGAAAGGTATTAGACTCTACCTATTGATGGTGCAGTGGTAAAATTTTAAGTTAACATGTATATTATGGGCTGAATTGTGTTGAAATCCTACCCCCCAGCTGAAATCGGTTTGGCTCAATGGATAGAGTGTCGGCTTGGGGACTGAAGGGCATGTATCTTGGTTGCGGGCACGTCTCCAGTAGAGGGTGTGCAAGAGGCAGCTGATCGATGACTCTCTCTCGTCGATGTTTCTCACTATCTCTCTCCCCCTTCCTCTCTGTATAAAATCAATAAAATATATAAAAAAAAGAAGAAAAAAAAAGAAATCCTACCCCCCAGTATCTCAGAATGTGATATTTGAAAATAGGGTTGTTCCAGATGTAATTAGTTAAAACGAGGTCAATAGGGTGGATCAGGGCCCAATATGACTAGTGTCCTTATAAAAAGGAGAACAGACAAGCACATAGATAGAGCGCCATGTGGAAACAAAGGCAGAGATTGGGGCGATGCTTTTGAAGCCAAAGAATGCTAAGGTTGCCAGTAACCACCAGAAGCCCGAAGAGTGGCTTGGCACAGATCTTACCCATTTAACCCTCAGAAAGAACCACATGGCCAACACCTTAATCTGGGAAGTCTAGCCTCTAAAATTATGAGACAATAAACATCTGTTGCATAAATCTTTCAGTTTATGGGTGCTTTGTGATGGCAGCCCTAGAGAACTAGTGTAATGTGGGATGAGAAATATTGCTGTGACAATTTTGAAAAATAAAATCTGTTCCACAGGTTGTCAGAGAAATATCTGTGTTTTCTTTCAGGTACTCTGATTCTCTTTCAATCTTACTGTCCCTTGGGTTTCATAATCTTAAAAATTTGTACTGCAGGCAACTTCTTGTTTCTACTAATATATACAGTAGATTTAGTTTTGAATTGTTTTCTTACTAGGTATTACTATTTTGTGAATAACATTTTTCTAATTTCTTTCTAGTTCTTATCATGAGAGGATCCATGGGAGTGAAGGCAAATTATCTTCTTTCACCTTGTCGACATTTTAACCTCTCTGTAGCTCCTGCAGTTGACCACTTGGAGGAATATAACTTTACCTGTAATCCAAAACCAGCCACTAGAAGCTCAGCAGTTATGGAGGAAGAGCCAACCAAGGAAAAGTCTATGAACCATACTTGTGGAATTATGAATTACTCAAATAATTGTGTACACATTTCTTTGTATGTAGAAATGGATGCAAAGAGTAAGTTTTAAAGGAAATTAGAGGGAAAAGAGAAATTATATAAGGGCTATCACATTAACTTCACTGAAAGTAAAATCATTGAAGAATAATTTTATTGATGAAATAATATGGCTAGAAAAATGTTAGCTCTTTTATCTGTCCCCCCCCCCCAAAAAAAAAAGTGATATTTATGGGACCCACCCTACCAGGAGGCAGAAGAAGGATTTAGTGATTTGAGGGTCACTAGAAAGACCCTCTGTCCTAGAAAAAGTCTGAACATGCCTATTAGCTGTGCTTGAAGTAATACCACCACACTTGGGTATTCAAGGGTGAGATTTATTTTAAAATGTAAAATCCATGTACATTGTGACATGCTATTAACATCTTACTTTGAATTGATTTAACATGTCCTCTTAGAGCCGAGAACCAGGCCTGCATTAAATGATTTTTTTTTTAATGATTAAGGTATCACATATGTGCCCTTATCCTCCCATTCCCCCTCATCCCCTCACCCCCTGGTGTCTGTGTCCATTGGTTAGGCTTACATGCATGCATACAAGTCCTTTGGTTGATCTCTCCCCCTCACCATGGCTAAGTGGGATTTTTGATGTGAAGTGGAGAAGGTAGGCAAGATGCAAATTAAGCACTTTGGTCACTGGAGGAGTTGGGGGAATGTAATGTAAGAGCCCAAAGACAAAACTTACACATATCTTATTAATAGTTCTGCTTAAGGCTGATTAACTTCCTACTCACCCTCGTATGATTCACCACAATTGATCCTTTTACTAAGCACTGTGCCCTCACTTAGCCACAAAACCTACTCTTGAAGAGCATTTTATGATCTTACCATTTAATCAGTGCCTGCTGTATGCCAAGCAGCGTTCCAGGCATTGGGGGCACAAAGGGAGATGAAGGTAAAGCAATCAAGGAGGTCATTCAGTGCGACAGGTGCTATGCTAGAGCCATCTGCTGTGCGTTTGGGTGTCCCAGATGTCTGGGAGCCTTTCAGATGACTTTAGAATGGTTTTATAAAGCGTTATTTTTGAGGCAACTGTTTTAAAAATATTTATTTTAAAGCAAACACAAATATATACTATATGTGCATTTTGAAAGTAAAATACATGACTCCAGAGAAATTTCTCCTGTGAGTTAGTTTGCCCAGGAACCTACAGCTTCTGCAGTTAGTGCGTATTTCAAGGAGTGTGTTTGGTGGGGGTGGGGGGAAAAGGGGAGAGGGTAGGAGAAAGTCTGTACCTTTTAGTTCAGGTGTGAGGTTGGAAGGTAAGTTTTGGAAAGGCTGCATAGGAAAGCTGACTATTATGAAATCTGAAAGATAAAGGGGTATGGATTATAGATACTAAAACATTTACATATTTCAATGTACATTTATGCATCAATTTAATTACTTGATGCTTTAAAACATAAAGGAAAAAATAAACATTTCTATTATGATTTTAAGAGGATTAATTTTTGTGATAAAGGAAAAAATCTATAAATCTAGTCAGAGTGAAATGATAGCTAATTTTTTTTTGGGGGTGTCCATAATTCAGAAATATTACCGGGTGCATAAATAGGTGGTTTTATATTCTGGGAAAATGATATCCATTTTGCCATGTGTAGAAGATTAAGAAATTATTCGTATTTTTCTCTGCTGTACAAAGACTAATGTGATCTTCTTTAAAAGCCCAATCCATCAGGGAATGAAACGAAATTTAGTCCAATTTGGTAAAGTTACTCTGAAACAATAATTTAAACCATCTCTTTAGTTTTTTTTTTTTTTTTCCAGGTTCTCGTTTGTTTCCCCTTTGGCTCTCTCCCAGGTGGCTGCAGGGATGCAGGGAAGGTGTGCGGCATGGGCTGTGGGGAAACACATCCCTCTGTGTTCACACTGATGCTGCGCTCACATGGTGGGTGGGCTGACTGGCTTGGCCTCAACTGTGCACATTCTGCTCTTGCAATGTAACTTTGATGAATGCATGGTTCTGTTTGTTTGTTTATTGCTTGAGCACTGCCCAATGACAACTTGGTGGTTGGACCTGTCTTGGCTTTTGCTAGAACTAACAGTCTTCTATTCTTTTTTTAAAAGAGAGGTAGGGGGAGACACACACACACACACACACACACACACACACACACACACACAGAGAGAGAGAGAGAGAGAGAGAGAGAGAGAGAGAGAGAGAGAGAGAGAGATTAGTGATAGAGAATCATTGATCGGCTGCCTTCTGCATGCCCCCTACTGGGTATCGAGTCCACAACCTGGGCATGTGTCCTGACTAGGAATCATACCATGACCTCCTGGTTCATAAGTCGATGCTGAGCCACTGAGCCACGCCGGCTGGGCTGACTACATACTTTTATCTAGCTGAGTGAGAAATGCAAGTTTGGCAGCTGTCATGGAATGATATTGGGGAGGCCAAGCACTATGTCATCCCAGTCAACTATGACTTTTCTTCATTCAGCTTCCTCTCTAAATAACTGTTGACTGCTTGTGTAGTATACACCTGCCCGTGGAGGGAGGGTCCTGTGAAAGGGATACCCAGATCATGAGCACACAAGGGCAATCATCCAAGGGTATACACAAGTTATATATCTTGCTAGGTTGAATAAATATTAGCTGTGTTACGTGTGCAAGGACAAGGGTCCGGAGGATGGCTTAGAAAGCCAGTACAGTTCTGTCTTGCACGTGATGAGGTTGCCTTTGTTTAAGTCACTGATTCCTGGGTTGGCTGGCCAGTGTGTCTCTGCGGAACCAAAGGAGATCATGCTAAACTCTTGCTGGATGGTGACCGTCCTTCCCATGTGGCTTCACTGTCATTTGAAGAACAAGTATTTACCTGAATCTTCATTCAGTTTAGGCTTGGACATTTGAATGAACAAATTTTTATCTGTATCTTCATTCAGTTTAGGCTTGGCTAACTGCATGTTTAATTAATGCACATTCTTGATCTGATCATCGCCTTGAGAACTGGTATGAAAGGGGGAGTCTGATTATTCATCCACCAAGGCTGCTTTCACCTCCTATGCCTCAGCCCAGCCCTTTCTCTTTATCTGTCTTTATCTTTCTTCCTCATCCTCCTCATCATCCTCAATGCATCTTTGTTGATTTCAGGATATAATTTCTGGCTGTTTGGCTATGTCCTGGTCTTAACCTAGTGATAGAAATGACAGTGAAACTTACACGAGCATAACCTGTAAGAAATTAACCCTAGAATTTCAGAACTAAATGGATCTCTGGAAGCCACCTGATCAAATTTCCTCCTTTAGTACATCATGGAAGTATTCAGGAGAGCAAATGACCCATAAAGTGATGTTATGTACTACTTAGCTTTTTAGTTAAGGGCAGACTACATAATATGAACCCAGCTGCACCACCACATAACTTCTTGTGTATTGTGTCCTTTTATTGTATTTTTATAGTATTTTTTTTCTTTGCAGATTTCTTTTGTCCCACGAAGATCACTTGGTATGTGTTAGTAATATTAGTTTTTACACTTGTATTTTTGCTCATCCTCATTAAAGTCCATCAGCAAGTGCAGAAGTGGCAGAGTAAGTATTGAGAATTAAATCCATCATTTGATATAATCCATTTAGTTTCAAGGGATTCCCAATCTTATCCATAGGTTTTTGTTTTGTTTTGTTTTGTTTTAGTTCAATTTACCAGTTACTGGACACATACTGTGTGTTAGTGGCAATTCAATAGGGAGTGGTGATAAAGAATGTTAGCATTGGAGCTCTAAGTTAAGGTAATGAGTGGGGGGGAGGGGGAAGCAATCTTTAATGAGTGTGAGTGTGTCTGTAGATTTTTGCCTGGGCTGAGCTAAAATGTGGAACTGGAAATCAAGACAGTGGGGATGATACTAACATATTTAATAACTAATAACCATCCTAACAGGGTGGACACTGAATGTGAACTATTGTCGTAGCCTTACTGGTGTGTACCCATGCATATATCTGCCCTGCTGGTGTGTATCCATCCATATACTGCCTCTATGAGTGCGTGCCCATGCATATACTTGCTTAATATCAGGCCTGATCGAAAGTAATGGTCTCTTAAAGACAAGAGAAAAATGTGTCAGTGTGAGACTAGTCCTTGGAGATAGGTGGACACGTTAGAATCCTAGTACTACTGTTCACTAGTTATGTGACTTTGAGGAAGTTGCTTACTGTATCTGAGTGTTTTTTCCTCTGTAAAATAAGGCTAGTCAGCATTACCACACAGGGTTGAAGTAAGCATTGAACAGAAGAGATTGCATAAGAAACTTAACACAATGTTGAGCATGGCAATGCTCAATCAACAAAAGCTGTTTATTGTGCTGTTTGTATTATTTCCCAAGGCTCTTATGTTCTTTACCAGGCAAGGCTGCTAGTCATTTCAGTAGCCAAACAAATGGTTGCCTCTAGGCTTGAGTGCAAGTGCCATTAATTCTTTCGACTAAATATTTGTTGCTGATATTTCTGAGGGTACTTTCATATCAAGTCTTGTCACTGATACCTTATATGGAAGACTTCTAATGCATTGGTTAATGACATAATATTGTATATTTGTACAGTAACATTCTCACAAGATTTTCACTAGATTCTCAAAGCATGGAAACAGGGTATGTGCTATTATTTTTATTTTTATTTTTTTTAAAAAAACAACACGCCGAAACCGGTTTGGCTCAGTGGATAGAGCGTCGGTCTGCAGACTGAGGGGTCCTAGGTTCGATTCCAGTCAAGGGCATGTACATTGGTTGCGGGCACATCCCCAGTAGGGGTTATGAAGGAGGCAGCTAGTTGATGTTTCTCTCTCATCGATGTTTCTAGGTCTCTATCCCTCTCTCTTCCTCTCTGTAAAAAATCAATAATACATATATATATATTATTGATATATATAATACATATATATATTATCAATAATACAAATATATATATGAGTAATCGAGTATTGTTGCAGTGTTGAGATTTAAAAAACAAAACAAAAACAAAAACAAAACAATAACAACAACAATGACCCTGAGCCTCAGGGAGGTCAAGTGTTCTGTCCAGAGTTATATAACTAATAAAATGTCAGCATTAAGACTCAGGGTCTTTCTAGTTTTGAAAATTATATTATTTTAAATAAATGTATGTTATGGCAAATAGTGCTTAGTTTTGAATTTTTAAAGTCTATTTTTTCCATATAATAGCATACTAAAAAGAAACCAGCCACGTCACTTCCCTGGGCCTCAGAAAGAAAATGGGTCTAGAAAGAGACAAATAGTGGGGATTGACATTGAGTTCTTTAAAAAAAAAAAAAAAATTATTTATTTATTTATTTATTTTTTACAGAGAGGAAGGGAGAGGGATAAAGATCAATGAGAGAGAAACATCGATCAGCTTCCTCCTGCACTCCCCCCCACCCCCCCACTGGGGATATGCCTTTGACCAGAATCAAACCTGAGACCCTTCAGTCTGCAGGCCGATGCTCTATCCACTGAGCCAAACCGGTTTTGGCAACATTGAGTTCTTATAAACATCGACCCACATGACAAGCTTACTAGCTTTCAAAGGCTTGCTTTATAAATCCAAGCATATACAGTAATAAAAGTCACATCATTTAGGATATTAAATATCAAATAATAAGATATTTTGTATATGATATCTATGAATATATAATATTATAAATAAAGTAACATTCTATACACAAGAGCTGGGTTTTTCATTAGGGAGATGGCATATAGCATATAGATGGCAGCGGAGAAGCCACTGGTTTTAGAAAGAACCTGCATTTGTTCATGAAAAAACAACTTCAGAAAAAGCTCTTTATGTCTCACCATTCCAGGCCCTGTTGTGAATGGCCCATTTTCCCTGGTAATCCTTGGACTCAGCGCGGGGAATATATTTTAAGAATGTGCTTGGTTACCATCTAAATATTTCATTTCTTTTCTTGGAACAGGTCATAAATACAAACCTTCATCTGTTCCCTTAAGAAGAAGTGATTCTGAGAAACCCCGAACACTGGAAATGCGCGTAATTTCAGGTGAGCTCTGTGACATGCAAACAGAACCCTGCTCAGCGAATTCCAAAACTTCACCCTTTCGATGTTCACTCAAGGTCACGAGATCGGAGCTCGTTTAAATTAGCCTTGTATCTGGAAGAAAGGACCCACGGGCAAATGATATCTATCTAGTTTAACATGTCTTATTATCAGGGGACAGTCACAATCAAAACCACCTCCTTAAATAATGGCAAGTTTGCTCAGTTGGCAAGAGGAAATGCATGTGGGTAGGCAGAGGAGGAAAAGCCATCAGGAACAAGCCTGGGATTTATTTTTAAACGAGACAAGATACCATTATTTCTCAGAACTGCAAGAAGTAATTGCAGAGCGGGCCTGGCTCTTTGCAGAGAGCTTCCAATGCCCCCAATTAAAAAGAACCCTGTCCTCTCCCGAGAAACGGAAGTGGAGCGAGGGAATCCTCATTAGAGCAGCAAGGGGGCTGTTCGCACGGACACTGCAGTGCCATCTCCTTCTTCAAATTGGGAAGCTTCCTTCTGAATTCAAGCTGTCAAATCACATTGGAAAGGAAGAGGCAGACTATGACAGGGGCAAAGGGCTCTTCGTCAGGGAGAAATAATATCCTTGCGTCGCTGAAAAACCACAGAATTACGAGTTATATAACTATATCTCCTCGTGCACGGCCAGGGAGCAGACTTCTTCCTGCTTTGTGAGAAGTTACATAAGGAAACCTCATGTCTGGTGTGTAAAACCGTTTTTCAGAACTGAAAGGAAATGGAACAAATCCTGGGCCCCCCACGGCAGCTGTATCTGTAGCCACGTGGAGATTTGCTCAGCAGCTTACTGGGGACTGTGCTCCTGAGATGTTCTCAGCTATTTAAGTTAGCTAGCTGGAGGAAAAATTGGACTGGGTGTACCTGAAGAGCTCACTTTATTTTAATTAATTAATTAACTAATTAATTAAACATTTTACTGATTTCAGAGAGGAAGGGAGAGGGAGAGAGAGAGATAGAATTATCAACGATGAGAGAGAATCACTGACCGGCTGCCTCCTGCACATCCACACGCTGGAGATGGAGCCCGCAACCTGGGCATGTGCCCTGACCGGGAACCAAACCATGACCTCCTGGTTCATAGTTCGAAGCTCAACCGCTGAGCCATGTCAGCTGGGCCAAAAGAGCTCACTTTAAAAATATGTACATATTTTCTAATCTCAGCATTAGGAGTAAAATTATTAACCTATTAGAGGCCCAGTGTATGGACTCGTGCACATTGAAAGGAAATTAATTAGAAGGTGGCCAGTGGGGAAGGACTGGGTGAGATGGGCTGGACACGCCCTGAAGCCAACCTCTCATGATCTTTCCCTGGCCAGCGTATCTGGGGTGGTGCACTGTGGCTCGAAGGGCATCTGCAGAGTGAGCAGGGTCCCTGTGGTAGGTGGGGTCCCTTGGCCTGGCCTCTCAGCCTGGCCTGCGGGGATTGGGCTGAAGCTGGCAGTCTGACATGCCCTGAGGGGTCCCAGAGTTCTAGAGGGCACTCTGCAAAGTTGCTGTCTCTTGGCAGCTCCTGCACTGAGCATCTGCCCCCTGGGGGTCAGGGCTCATCATAGCCACCTGCTGGCCAGTCGGCCGGTTGGCTGGTTGGCCCGGTTGCTTAGCCTTTTATATATATAGATCACTAAAAATAAGCATTAGCTAAATAGTCATTGGATACTCGCTAACAGTGGGGGAAGTTGATGGAAATTTTGGCTGGTCCGTGACAATTTTGTTTGGTTAATGAAATGAAAATCACAGGGTTGTTTCCAAAGACAAAATTAACTTTTTAAAATAATATATATTTTATTGATTTTAGAAGGAAGGGAGAGGGAGAGAAAGATAGAAACATCAGTGATGAAAGAGTATCTTTGATCGGCTGCCTCCTGCAAACCCCACACTGGGGATCAAACCTGCAATTCAGGCATGTGCCCTTGACCGGCATCAAACCTGGGACCCTTCAGTCTTCAGGCCGACGCTCTATCCACTGAGCCAAATCGACTAGGGCCAAAATTAACTTTTAAAGAGAAGAAATGGCATTTCCCCTGGTGTCCGCTCTAATCCAGTACACACACCTGACATCCATACACCAGGAATGTTTTAGCCTGGCTCTGCAGGGCTTTTGTTTTAGCGACTCCCAATCCTTTCTCTTTCCAAGTTGAAATTTTGAGCACTGAAACCAAGAAAAGTCGATAGTTGTCCTGCCAACATAGACAATGGGGGAGAATCACACATTTAAAGTTCTGGCTAACCACAGGACGAACCACACCCTGTGTTTATGAGCCTGTGATTTTGATTCACCAGAGAAACCCTTACCCTTTACTAGCTCTCACTAAAAACCCTCCGGCTTTATTGCCAGGTGTATAATATTAATGTGTAGGCTGAGGGTTGGTGGCCTGTTTTCAAATGAGGTGTCCTTTCGAGGCTTAGCTTCTTAAACGGGAGAAGAAGCAGATTCCCTCCTGTTATTGATATTCCTTTAACCTAAATGCAATTTTTCCTCCTCCCATTATAAGTTGCTCTTTCTGAGAGAGAAATGGAAAGGAAATAATGTCCCCCTCGAGTGCTGTTTTTAAGGCCTCTCTTTGGGATGATGGAATACAGGCTGCAGTCAGAAGCAAATGTGCCGGCATGGTTCTTTGGAGAAGCAGTAACGCGAGTTAAAAAAAAAAAAATGTAGTTCAAAGAGAGCAGTGACTGCAGTCACTTCAGCAGAGCCTCTTGCTGTCCGCTCCGGCTGTACGCCCTGCAGTGTCTCTCAGTTGTTCAGGAGGAAGCGTTGTTACACGTGTGCACACAGAGCATAGGAGGACTCACATCCTCAGAGAGACAAGGGAGACCCAGGAGAGATTGCTCAGACCCTGGCCCCGCACAGAGCCTTGAGCACAGTGGGGCGCAGCAAACACGGATGGGATAAATGAGTAGCTTCGCTGTAGGAAAGATGTCGCACAGAATCACACCCCCAGCTTTCACATGTCCCTTGTGTTTTCTTCCTTGCTTTGAGAAGTATGGCGGCATATATTGCCTCTCTGGGCATTGATCTATTTTACATTTTTTTCTTTGGATTATTATCTTCACACAGGTGATTCTTATCCTACTCACCTTTGGATCCTTGTCCTTGGCATAACGTCTAGCATGTAGTTCATGGACAATAAAAGCTTACTAAGTCACACTAACGCTAAGGGGAAATGTGTCTAGAGTTAAAAGAGCAGATGAACAAGAAATGAATCTTGGGCCGAAACTGGTTTGGCTCAGTGGATAGAGCGTCAGCCTGCGGACTGAAAGGTCCCGGGTTCGATTCCGGTCAAGGGCATGTACTCTGGTTGCAGGCACATCCCCAGTATGGGGTGTGCAAGAGGCAGCTGATCGATGATTCTCTCTCATTGATGTTTCTAACTCTCTATTCCTCTCTCTTCCTCTCTGTAAAAAATCAATAAAATAAAAAAAAAGAAGAAAAAAACAAGAAATGAATCTCAGGCTTCAGGGAAGGTGAAACAAACAGAGACAAAGAGTGATCAGAGGCAGCATCATTCTACTTCATTGAAGAACATGGAACACACTTGATAGAATTGCTAAGGACATTAAAGAATAGTGAAAACACTGACCATTTGAGGAAGAGATTTTGAGAATTAACGCAAAAAGCAGCTTTGGAATGTATCCCTAGACATGGTGCTTAATGAGTTGACCCCGTTGGGAAACCAAGGCCGGGGCAGAGGCCTTAGATTAGGACTCAGATTACTGGATGCAAACAATAGAAACCAACTTGTCTGACTTGGCAGAAAGGAAATGTATTGGAAAACTAATATGGAAGTGGCAGAAGCAGCAGGGAGGTTAGGGAATCTGAGGTTGGAAAATAAAGAGGAGTTAAGAGAGGCCGGGCAACTAAGCATGCATCCAAACTCATAGCACAGGAATGGTTTGGTGAGAATACCTCTGCTGGTGTCCCCACTGCTGGACGTCCCCTCTGAGCTGCCCAAGCTAGCCTTACACCACCGGGCAGTTTTGCATCTCTGCCAGGATCGCCAGCCCCACGGGGGAGTGGCTGATTGGTGGAGTGTAGGCCAGGAAGCAGAGAGCGGGAATATCTGCCCTTCTGGCCTCCTGCACCCCAAGAGTCCCCGTGAGCTATCCACAGGCTGGACAGCCAATACATCTGCACAACCCCAGGTTTCTGGGATTCAAGCTTCCACTTATTCCTGCTGCGTGGGTCCACGAGGGGGGTCATTTCATCTCCCCCTTCTATGTCCATAGAACATGCTGAAATTTTTAAACCTGAAATTCTTCACCTACAAACATTCAACTAAAACCTATTGAATACGGACTACACACCTGGCGTTGTTAAGTGCTGACAGCAGAGTGGTATGTACTCCAGCACAGTCACTGCCTTCCCAGAGCTGACGCCACAGTTAAGGAGGATCTGGTTGCCTTAGAACCGTGATCGGCAAACTCATTAGTCAACAGAGCATACTCAATATCAACAGTACAATAATTGAAATTTCTTTTGAGAGCCAATTATTTATTTATTTTATTATTTATTTATTTATTTATTTATTTATTTATTTATTTATTTATTTTTGAGAGCCAATTTTTTAAAACTTAAACTTCTTCTAATGCCACTTCTTCAACATAGACTCGCCTAGGCCGTGGATTTTGTGAAAGAGCCGCACTAAAGGGGCCAAAGAGCCGCATGTGGCTCGCCAGCCGTAGTTGGCTGACCATGGCCTTAGGAGAAGGGAAGCCAATGAAACTTTAAGAACTCAGTACGTACGTCCTATATGCACAGTTCTTTCACCCACATCGTTTATTTTATTTCATAAGAACCTCACTCTTTTTCCCCCGATGAGAACATCGAAGCTAGGAGAGTTTAAGTCACTGACCCACAGACAGGTCCTAGGAGAGTCAGGCTCAAACTCCAATGGATGCACTTTCTAGCACCCCAGTGGCAATGGGGATCTGGGGAGCTCACCTCTTCTGGTTCCTCACAAACCAAAA